CAGCAGGCTGGAGGAGATTGCGGAACTCAGCTAAATCCTGAACGCTGATGCCATAAGAAGCCTGCTGCTGTGTACAACCCTGAGAAGACGAGCAACTGAATGCTACCACCTTGGCTTCATCGCTCAAATGATGTCTCAAGCCAAAAAGTGGGTTAGAGGTCCACCTTAAAAGTCAGTTATGTGCTGAAGTGTTCATGGACCAAAAAAAAAAAAGCCACCCAAAACTTTCACAGTATCTTAAATCATTTCTGTTTGCATGTCTCTTCCGTTACTTTCCTCTGAACATCCCACCACACAACCCTCCCACCATTTCATCCTTCTCACTTACATCACCGTAATTACAGCCCTGGCTGATCTCCTTTGTGCTGATCTCGAGATTCTTTCTTTGGTCTTGCCACCTACTCATTTCTGATTCTTCTCAGATAACAGAACGCTTGTCTCCTTCCCAGACCTCCCACCCTCCTTCCCCCTCTTCCTTGCACCATCCGTACGAGCAAGAAAGCTAGTGTTTTCCCGTCTTCAAGAGCTCTTTGCGGCACTTACTGAAAGGCATTCCCAAACTTATTATCTCCATCCAGTAAGACTACAACAGCTCTGCTGTGGGCCTGGTATGATATTATGCTTGTGGGCAAAACATTCTTTGGATTAGGCTTACAAAGGGCAAGAGTCTTAACCTTCAGAAGTTTACTTTGAAGTCTGGCTGATTCAGGTTCCCTAAATCATTCTGCGCGTTGACTTCCAGCTAGAGCACATCTGTACGTCTCCAGTGGAGAGCATTCACTCGGCATGCAACATTTAGTGAGGCTGTCCACATGCGCATATATGGAGTCAACCTCACGCTCCCCCTTCAGTGGAAGAAGATACCTACTGTTCTCATACTCCATGTTAGAAATTGCATGAGGATGGAGAGACAGGTATTAGCAACAGTTTCCACACCGTTATGGAGCTTAAGGGGAAGAAAGAAAGGAAGGGGTGTAGAGGTAAAAGGGAAATAGAGAAAACTCACATACTTGCAACATTATCCTTTTCTATTTCAGCTCATACTTTACTACGGAAAACACAGAGAAACTCTGACAAAAGTAATTCCGTGTAGGCAAAGCAGTCATCCTTAGATCGTAAGGCATCCCAGAAACCAAGTATCCCCTGTTTTTTAACTGTCACTTGAACTGTAGTTGTATTCTGATCCTAATTGAGTGCTTGGCATCAATTCAGATTGTGTGTGTTTTGCTTACTGGTACTCTGTTTAAGGAAAAAATAGAACAATCATGGATCTGGGCAACTAAGCTGAAGTATCAATTATAAAACTCAAGGTTAAAGCACTTGCTTTTTTTTTTTATTAATAGCTACAATACTTATGGCAGTTACACTGTAACTAACGACACTTTACAGCTACATTTGTTGTGTAGGCTACAGAACCCAAACGCTGGAATCCGCATCTAAAATCAGCATGACTCAGGCATATTGCAAAGGGTAAGACTGTCTGCTTGCCTGAAAAAACTTTTGCTTAGCAGGAAAAAAAAAAAAAAAAAAAAAAAAAAGACCACGCACATTGCCTTTTCACTTTACTTCAGCTTTAAAAAAAACAAAACCAAAGCCAAAACCCAAACAAAACCAAAGTCTTAAACCCAACCTAGTTTAGACTAAGCAGCATAACGGCGTAACTACAGAAGAGGCTTAAATCGTGCTGATTGACTGACAACTGACACACTACACAGAGAAAACTTAACTTGGCTTTCTCTGGCTGAAACTCCAAGCAGAGCAGAGGGGAAACAGGAGGCCGCTTTGCTGACCGCTCCGAGTGCCCCGGGGATCATGTGGCCAAACAAGGCAGGGGGAGAGGGGAGAAAGAGCCCGTTTCTGTTATAACGCATAGGTGAGTTTAGAAAGTGTTCTTTTTTTGCGTGGTTCCTGGTATTCTCAGGGATCTCCCAAGAGCAGCCTGAGTTAATCAGACAGTGTACGAGCAACTCCTATGCCAAATGAATGCCACTCCTACTAGAAAACGTATCACGCTGAGAGGAAGAGGAGGTACCAGCCTTCCAACACAAACACTGAGAAAGGAGGATCTCTCTGTGGTACTGTGTGCGCTCACAAGCGGACTAGATGGTGTCAGTGGATATGTGTAATCACTAGTCATTCCACCTTCTGTGCAGATGATATGATATGATATGATATGATATGATATGAAGAGAGAAAACGCACACTGGAAAACACATGAAATACCACTGTACAGTTGAAGGAGAAATTCTTGATATAACTGAAACACAGTCCCCTTTTCTTAGCAGATGTTTTGTTAGTATACAGATGAATAAATCTGAAAAAAAGTGTACCCAGCCAGCCAGCATCTTGTAGATGTCAGCACATAAAACGTTCTCTGAAGGCAGCGTCTAACCTGCTCTTACGAACTGTGACAGTCTGCTGGCTGGAAGGGTTTGCACTGCTTAATAAACCCATCCCTGTGCTTCACAGGCAGACTTGCAGCGAGTCAGTGAGGTACGGTCAATTTGAAAATATTAAGGTTGAGAAGTGAAATGGTGAACACCTAATAGATAGCCGGTATAAAAACCATCAGTGGTCAAAGTAACAAGAGCTTTGGGATATGATACTTCTGCAATTTTTGCTAAATTCATATCATTGCATAAAATTTATAAGAAAGCTTATTTTACAATTCAGTTTTATCATCAGGAAAGCTTTAGAGATGTTCTTACCATGCTTCAGATGTAGGCAGCTGTCATTCTGGGGCCTGTACCTGTAGAAGATTGTTTTCCTTTAACAAATTTCTGTTACAGAGTTTTTGCACATTCCAAATAAGTTTGTTTGCAACAGTATTACAAGGATTTTTTGGTGTGTTTTTCGTTTTGTTGCTTAGGTTTTTTTATGGTTCTTATACCAGCCATTTTTGTTGGGGAAAACAGGATGTTTCTTTGTATATATTTTACAGGCAAAGAGGAGACCTCACTGATGCTTTTAGCCAACCTACTAGGCAGCTGTTAGTGTACACAGAAATGTAAAATACAGCGATAACAAATACAGTGGCTACAAAAAGGTCAGTGTAAAGTTTCCAGTGTCCAATAATCCCACACAGTGTTTGAGACACAGATAAGTCTAACATTGACTGAGGAGAAAAGCAAAGGCAAAGCAGGACAGCGACTGCAGCAATGTGTAAATTCAGCCAAAGATGTTGATGCCGTCAGGACTGCTGCATGGAAAGGCGTAAGGGAAAGGAGACACGGGTTGTGTGCATTTTCACAAGCTTGCATTCAAAGTGAAGTATCTTAAAACATCCATCAGAAGCAAGGGTTAGAGAAAAGCATATAAGAATTAAATAGCGCAAGCCCTGGTTTCTAAAATATACCTGAGGTGAAGGGTAAGAATTGTTCATGGCCTACCTGATGCTGATTCCTGCAACTTTTCTCTCTTCCTCTTCTTTTTCTTCCCCTGAAAAACAGGAAATTTTACCATACCATTACATGCACAGAACTCGTCGCCATCCCATCTCATGGCATAGAAACAAAAGCCACCTGGACACTGAGAAAGGAAAAAACAATTGTTTTTGGGGTGGCTAAAACCTTTTCTAACCCACTTCCAACTGTTTCAATGGTAACAAGGTTTTCTCTCAGCATCTATGGAGAAATACGCACATGAGCAACACACATTTTCGTATCCACATGGAATTACAATTTCTGGCAGTTTCTCAACTAACGCTGGCAGCCGCCAGCATCTAAAAAGACTTCTCACGCTTAATAATCTGATGACACATATGTTGATATCATAATTTATGGCTCTTACAAGAACTCTTCACACATTCAGATACTTACACTGTCATACATGGCAACAGCAGACAGGGTGTTGAAAGTACCCAAGACGACCACAACTTGTCCCCAGGGTGCAAACCAGCCGACTAAAACTGTTCTGATAACGCTCGTACCTTAACAAAAGCCAAGTCTTGCATGGCTGTGCCCGGAGAATGCGCTGTGCAACAAGCAAATAGCAGACTACTGCACGGCCGAGCACCCTTGACGTGACTGAGGTGCAGGACAGAAATGGATGCCTGGCAGCTGTCTTTCTTGGACACTGCACTGGCACCAGTGTGCTGGCGCAGGCTCATCGTGCCAACCCACACACTCAGCCTTCTCCCACACCCCCAGCTACGGAAAAGGCCAGAGCTCCCGGGTCCCACAGTCTTTCAGGAGACAAAAGGTCGGTTTAGACCCAAAACTTTAAACCTCAATCATCTTGCATTGCCCTAATTACCACTTTGATATTCCTCCATATGACTTCTCTTTATTGTCCTGTATTGCCAGTCAAAGATTTTTTTTGTTTGTTTGTTTGTTTAAAAAAAAAAAAGTCATATCCATTTATATTTTAAAGAAGCATTCAAGCTGCCAGGACAGGCTGTAACAGATGAGCTCTGGCAAACCTCGGTGCAGTTGCGGTAAGCAGGACTGCAGCTTGCTCTCTGTCCTTCTGCCCCCCAGCTAGAGGTTACCCCACTCTGCAGAGCTGGCAGCCGCCAGCGTTATGTCCCAGCATAGACCACATCACGTACAGTGGCCACAAACTGGAAGGGCTGAGGTGGAGGGACGCATCTTCCCATTAGCTAGTTCTGCAAGGTGACGGGATGGACAGTGGGTGATGTGAGAAACCACCTCAAACTACTGCAGTGCTCACTGATGGACAGCACGCGAGGGCTCCAAATACAGGCTACGGTGAAGCGCTGGCAGATGAATTCAAGTAGTCTCCAGTCTGCTCTGACAGTGTTGGCCCGCCCGACTCTTAAGCTCCTGTCCTTGTTTATCTCGAAGCTGGCAACAGGGCTGGGCAATGCCTTGTGAGAGAGCTCCTGAAGACGGGACCAAGACTAGAAGTTGGAAAGCAGATTTCAAGGGCTTTGGGGAACTCCAAGCGACACACTTTGTCACTTCGGCACCAAGGCAATACTTCATTGCAGAGGAAAGTGCATTAGTGCAGATGTTAACATGGAAAAATCATGGGAGGAAAATTATGTTTTAGTCTCTATAGCAGGCTGACTTCAAGTGCTAAAACATACTGAAAGCTGATCTCAGATCCAACTATGAGATACCAGAAGCGGAGGAACAGAAGGAAAAGGCTGGGCTGAAAACTAGTTGTCAGCCTTCCCAAATGAGGTAGTTTTTGACAACTCCAGCACACGTAGACACCATCACAGTACGAAGACACTGTGCTTCTCGTGACTTTCACACAACTTTGCAGGGCTAGTCTTGGTGTCAGTCATAAAAACATAATAAAAAGCACACAGATATTGTCAACAGTTGAACAGCAACACTTAACATTTTCTTGACATTTCTGAAATCCGGACTAAGCAGGCAAAGCAAAATAGAAGAATTAAAATCAAGTAGTACATATTTTTTAGTCATACTGTTTTGTGAAATTCAGCCAAGTGAAATATAAGAGTCACCCCTAAGTCACTTCCTACTCTCAAAATACTGCAGTAATGTGTGCTAAATGAATACAATTTCACTTTTGACTGCTCAAGTTAGAAAAAATGAAGAGAAAAAAAGAAAAAAAAAGGAAAGACGACATATACCTGAAAAGGTTTCAGTGATAAACTGTGATCTACTATGATCACCCTCTCACCACCACTGCAACAAACATATGCATTCTTGGGGAGACAGAGAGAAAGACTGCAAGAGGAAGCTAGCGGACTTCTCCATTGTAACATATAGGACTGGAGTACGTCAGAGCTATGTTTCCACACAGGATGTAGGTTGGAAGCACATCAAAGGGAGAATTCATACGTGCCACCTTACACACTCTCAATGTCTATCAAGGCATTTAAGAAACTGCAGCTCCGCTGCTTGTACCGTACAGCAGTCGGCTGTGGCAAAACACATCAGGTTCTCAAAGTCAACATGATGAGCATCACAGCACAATCTTGAAGGCTGATGTCCAGTAAGCAGGAGCTGACAAGGCTCCAAAGTGGTTTCATTTTCCAGCCAGTAAGTTCAAGACAATTGAAATCCCCTTGTTTTCAGGGAGTATATCACTAAGGCCCTGTTTGCTCCCAGGTGTATTTCAAGACAGCGCTGTTGACACGGTCTGGTTACTGGAGATATACCCTACCTGCGTAAGGCCGTGACAGCTCATCTGCTAGAAAAGATGACTGTATAAAACAGGCAGAAACAAGACGCTAGGGCTTACGGTAGTGTCTGTGCTTAAGAAACTGGGCATGGATGTCAGCAAGACCAAGGCATTTGCTTCCGAGATGATCACAGTTTTTGCATCAACGCTTTCCGTGCCAAAGTTCTCCCTAAGAGACTCTAACTTACAATGCAAATTGTGTTTTAAGCTGAACAGTAGCTGTGCTGGGTTGGAAATGTCAAGTACTTCTACAGTTTCTGTTAACACTGCATTTAGGTACCACAATCTTTAATGTCCACAAGATATCACTGAAGTAGAGAAATGCTACTGTCCACCTAATACAGAAGGAAAACTGAGCCAGATATAGCATGTGCACTTCCTATCGCAGTCAATAGTGCCACAGCTGGTGGGGGGACAGAAAGGAGCCCAGATCTCAGGCTAGGATCAGTCTCCCAGGACTGCAGCTTGCGAGTTTCGTAACATAACATATGACTACACTGACAGCTCACTGTAAGCACAATAGGTATAATTGCCCAGTGCAAGCTGTGCAATGTACTATTAACACTTGTTTGATATTTAATTATAAAATAAGACCAATTGTAAGAAAACTACTTAGCTACACAGAACAGTATAAAAGCAGGATCTATCATGAAGTTTTGTTACACAAATTTTGCAGGCTTTATTTTAGAGATGGTCCATTCTGAATTACTTTCAGCTAAAGTTCAGTCTGCATTAAGACCCCTGGGCTTTTGATTTTCTTGAAAGAGAGACACCCCTTTTTTTTCTCAGATCTAAAGAAGATTACCAAATAGCAAGTGATCAAATAGAAAAATATGAAAAATTCACACCTGTACAATAGAATATAAGCTTTCAGATAGTATTGGCCACTGTCTTAGGAAAAATACCTTTCCATGTTAATGTCTTCCCCTCAAAAACTGTGACCCTCATAAGACCCATCTCAACAACAACAAAATCTCAAGTTTTCTGGATGCTAGAAGTGCAGACAAATATAAGGCTTATGTTATATGTTTCACCATCCCCCCATCCAGAACTTTCCACACATTGAACAGAAAAAGAAGAAAGAAAAAAAAAGTTAGGTAAAGGAAATTAATTTAAAAAAAAGCCTTCAAGTGAGCGACTTACATAGTTGTCTCTTGCAGACCAGCCTGGATAAAGCTGCATGTGTAGCTGCCTTTCTTTACGAGCTAGTTCATAATATTTCGCTTGTTCTTCACGGGAGAGAGCATGCCACTGCCAACAAAATAAACAGAGCATTAGACTAGGAAGTAAGTCATACCTAGGCAACAGATGACACGAGCAAGTGTTTTTGTGACTTTGATTCAGTCCTTCCCCACTGCAAAAATGAAATTAATTAGCAATTACAAGCACCCGTGTTTATTAACCAACTTTCAGGCACTTGTCAGCTCTGTCACTGCCAAGTGCCTTGAGTAAGACAAAAATCATTTATGGAAACAGGGCTCACCAAATAATCTGCCACAGAACTATGCTCTCCCAACACCACTTTAAAAAACCTAAAAAAACCCCCAAACCGGAAAGGTTTTGTGTTGCTTTTAAAGGGCAGTGAGCTCCCCACCACAGAAGGGTTTGCTGTCTTGTTTTTAAGCAGCAGCTACACACGGGTTTTCAATGCCAACACAGAGGGCTTTCTGGGCATCAGCAGCCTTCTGGGTTCCAAGATCAACCTCTAAGTACTGAGCTTCAAGGTACCTGCTTTCTGATTTCTTCTTGTTGTAATAGAAGCAAAGAAAATGGCAACTGCAAAAAGTTTCTAAGATACTGAAACCACAGAACTGTAGTCTTCCAAATTACACGAGTTGACCTCTATAGCCAAACTTCCTGGTTTTATGTACTTAAACAAACAAACAAATCTGCACATTTGAAAAGGCACCAGTTACATCAGGATCTAATAAATTTTTTCTTGTTGAAACACCTATCATAGACCTGAACCAAAAAGAGTAAAGGCCTTTTATTTAGAATCAGGTTCCACTGCTGCAGCATTAGATGTGTTTTGTTTGACTTTGACAGCATGCATGGGGGGCCATGGAAGAGAAGATATTAAAAAAAAAAAAAAAAAAAAAAAAAGAGAGATGTGAAATCATCAAGACAGTCATGCAAGAATAATTTACAGAACTAGGATTTCAGATCAGATCACATTTGTATGATTTAATATGTCATTTTGTTACACATCAGAAGATGCGAACTAAAGCGCCTGTCTGTCTTGAGATGGCAAGTTCGATGTGTTACTGAGAGCACAGCAGTTCAGTCTGTTTGCAAGTCTCAAACTCGCACGAGCGCTCCAGAACTGGACGGTAGTGAACATTATGCTGTGGTATCAGAGAGCCCAGCAGCATGCAAAGCATCAGCTCTTAAAAAGGGAGGTGGTTCCTGTTCTGGAGTGGCACAGGGTATAGTAAATAGCGGCCAGAATGACTGAACACAAAACATTTGATAATAATTAATCTCCAAGCAGTTATATTGGGTAACTCATGTGTTGTTTGTACCACAGTAAAAGTGGAATTTGAGGTACTTTCATGGAGAACAGTAACTTGCAAGGAGTTGTCCAAGCTGTGGAAAAAGCAGGCAATGGAGCACTGAGGCTTGATTCATTACCAAAATGGAGATAAAGAAGCCACTGCCCTCATTCAGGCCAAGAAAACAAGGCTGACATACCAAGCAACTAAGATCAACTACAGAGGGAGTGAGAATGAAACCATGATCCTAGAGACTTGTGTGAAAGAATGGAAAAGGCAAGCAGCACCATGTCCTTTAAGAGGTAACATCAGAGAGAAGTCAGAAGGCTGCAGGAACGAGGACAAGTACCAATAGATTTCTGCTCTGTTGGGGGGAGAGGAAGTCGTCAGATTGTAACAGAGAAGTAGCAGTTAAGGTCATGTACTAACTTCCCACTCTAAAAGCACAGGGTTTTCAGAGAGCTACAGTGCCTCTCAATACTGCTTTAGTCAGTGGTCAAGAAGAGGGGTTCACTGAGCAAGGGGATTTGAATCTTGAAATTTTGAAACCTACTCAAACTCAGATTGATACAAAAGTTGTCCCTTTTCTCATTTCTGGGACAGTCAAGGGCAAAATGGGCATTTACCTCTGCTGCTCTCCTTTGGAAGAACACCACTGACATGAGTGAGCATGAAGTCTGTAATTGTGGGTTGGCCCACATTTTTTTTTTTTTTTTTTAGCCTGGAAAGAACAAAACATGCCTACAATGCCACAGAAGCAAATGGCTCTCGGCAAGGATCTGGGACGTATGCCGGGATCGCCAGTACTCAGCTACTGACTTTAGAGACATTCAAAACTTGACTGTACAAGACCCTGAGCAGCCTGATGTAACTGGACCTGCTTTGGGCAGGTGTTGGACTAAACGACCTCCACAGGTCCCTCCCAACCTACATGACTTTACAATTGGACCACGTTATATTCTCTCTTGAGTTCCATCTCCACTGGCATCCAGTGTTCATTTTTGAGCGATCCCCCCCTGCTCTGATGGACGCCAGCCTAAGGGAGGACCCAGGAGGTGATTTGAATGCTCCTGCCATGTGTGAATGAGAATATTTCATGCCTGAGGTGCTGACACCATGACATGAGTGGAACAGACACCAATTTGATGATGTTGCCATCGCTGAAAAAAGAAAAACAAGATACTGCTTTTATTTTTAGTTGCATGTTTTATCTTCTATAGCAAATCTGATAGTTGCACATTAGTTAGCACCTCAAGCAGAAAGTGAGCCATCACACCCAACGAAAGGGAAACACACAAATTAGCAGCACACGTGAGTACACACACCCCCTCCTGTACTTACCCTTCTGCCAAGAATCTGGTTGATAGCTGCGCTTTCTTTCAGAGTACACTCTGCTACAACGTTCGCTCTCATTTCTTTCATGTACAACATGAAAGCATTCAGAGGTTTCTTAATATGAGGTCTTTTTGGCTCTTGTTCTTTTCTCTGTTCGTGCTGAGGCTTCCTAAAACGTGGTGGGGAAAGGGAAAGGAGGGGGAAAAAAAGCATCCATTTACCTTCAGCCTGAAAAAACCCCAATGGAAAATTACCAACCTGTGGTTACAGTAGCATTTAAGTAGTAAGAATGAGAATTTCAGTGGTCATGTCCCATCCACTTTCGTATCTTTTCAGATAACTGACTTAATCTAATACTCAAGGAGGATGTCAGGTTGACATTCTCTAGCAAATAACATTTGATCTGTCAATCCACTTCAAATTCATCACTTGTCTCAATTCTCTTTTTGAAAGGCTATTCATCATACCCTACAAGACCACTGCTACAGGCAGGAAGATAGCTCCTCATCCACTTCTTTCTTAGGACTTTTGCCTTCAAGTACTAAGCAAAAGGGCTGCTTTTTACTAGCAGGTCTTTGCAGTTAAAACCTTTTCCAGCAGAAGTTCATGAGTTCACACTCAAGCAATATCCCTGCGTAAACAGACGATTATGTCTGAATCAAGATGACTGTTACTGAGAACTAAAAAGTGCTGGACTGAAATGAGAAATGGCTTCATGTCTCATTACTCTTCCCAAACAGTAGTCCACATCTCCCATTTTAGTTATAGGAGAAGAGTTAAAATTCAAAGACGACATGAAAGGCACTTTTTTTAACTTTTTTTTTTTTTTTTTTTAACTCTTCTTCAGATAGAGTTAGTTCTCAAATGTTTATAGATTACAGGCTAGTACAGAAAGGCAGACTCACACATGCATTAGCTCACTGTCGTTGTGCGGATGTTCTTGTTTTACTTGAGGTGTTACAATAGCTGGGTGAGGGATTCCAGTTGTGTGAGGGCCTGGAGGACCGGGAATCATGTGATGTGAAAACCTAAAAGAGAAAACAAAGGAAGGTCTGTAACCCTACTGAAGACAGACATCAAACACATATGACAGCAGTGGGATGCCCCAAGAATGCAAACGCTACAGAGCTTGCAATGGAAGACAATTCTTTAAGAGTGCAGGAAAAATATTTGGCTAAGATTTGTGCATTGTAGCCCACTTATTCAAGAAAAACAAACAAACAAACAAATCAGTCACCATTTTGGTCATAAAGAAGTTACTTTATTACCTTTCAGGCAAACAGTTTTAGCAATGTACACAAAAAAACTTTTAATGGCTGTACTGTTGCACTGACTAGCAATAAAAATACACATTTCTTAACCAAAAACTGTATTTCCACACCAAGATATAAACATTCTTAAAATATCCACCACCAGCCAATGCAAAGGAGGGAACTGCCATGCAGAAACAAATAAAATAAAAAAATAAGAGTCTTTTCAAGAAGTCCCTGATGGCTCTCTAAGGAATCTCTTACTTTTCAAGGTACTTAACCTAAAAGATTTTAACATCACTTCACCTAAACCCACTGTCCTTCCCTCAAATGCTTAAAATAAAAATAAACTAAAAAAATCCTGCATCCTGGAAAAAGGAAAGGGGAAAGGGGGGAGGAGAGAGAGACTTTTGTCCTAAATAAACCTTCCTTTCATTTGTACAAGAAGGAAGAAGGAAAAGAAAAACAAAGTACCACTAACTTAACCATCCCACCCTACTAACCCAGGTCAGCCTCAAGGATAGCTGAGGTGGATCTTGAACGTGCTGAGCACTGCAAGCTGGTGGAAAGTACCATTAACATCAAAAGCAAGCTCATGCTCCAAAGGGTTGCTGAATGACTGCTGGTTAAGGAAGCACATCCAGCCTCTCCTTTCTCCGTTCCCTAGTCACCTTGCCCTTTTCCTTCACGCCATCAAAATAAAGCAAACACAAAGCCCTGTAACCAAATCAGGTCATTTTATCATGGAGAAAGAATGGGGTTTCTTCCCAATCACCCTGACAGGCACATGCTTATCATTCCCCTGTAAAGAAGTAAAGGGACAGTGACAATCCAAAGGAGCCCACACAAATAGAGGCGAGAGGACCCACCAGTTATCACGTGGCCTGTCTTAAGTACCTGTGCAAGCAGATGCGTCTTCTACAGGTCATACAAAAAAAAAGACCCCAAGAATGGTATATTGCAACCTTGTGTACACCAAGCACAGGATGCAGAAGCTGTCTTTAGAGTGCAAAAGCAGAGGAGAGGAGGTCTGGCGTGTGTCACAGCCAAGTTTCAGTTAGCATTGCTTGCCTGCACTTAGACATAAGGACACAGTGCCTGATTCACACACCAGTACAAACACACTGTGCTGGCACCCCTTGCCATTAGTGGCTTTGGGCTATGAAATACCTACTTGCGAGCAAGTTTCCACATGGAGCGATACCTAAATGATTCAAGACTAATTACCAACAACTTTGAAATTAGAACTAGAGAACACAGACTAGAGTGACGATCCACCTGGTTGCACGCTTGCATGAGCAAAACCCAAGGATGCACCATGAGCAAAACCCAAGGATGCACACTATATGTTGCATCTAGAAATGAACTAGACTCATTTCAGATGAAACGGCTCAATTAGTGGTTGACAATTCACCAGTGCTCCTAATTGCAACACTTCAGAGACTGCCAAGAAAATGCTGAATGAGACCAGTGTGGGATCCAGGCAAACTGTATATACACAAATACGTTAAATAAAAATGTACGCATATAGTTTTAGCTGACTGAAAAGCAAGCAAAGGCAGACCAAGATGCAAGCAGAAGAGCAACTTGCCCTCTAACGCCAGCAGTTACTCCCCAGTCAGTCATTCACCTCCTACACCTACCTGGACATGGAAGGGTCGACTGAGAGTGAGGATGGATAGGGCTGCCTGAATCCACTCGAGATGGGATATACAGGCTGACCTTGCCTGAGGTCACAGAAGAAAGGAACCCATCAATCATACGATACGGTATTCAGTAGTTACTCTAGAGTTACAAGCACTTGATGGGAATTCAGTACTAGTCACAAAAAATAGTAATAGGCGACACTTTCGAGAGTTCTGCTGTATTCAAAGCTAATGAATATTTGAACACTTTGGACTTTCTTCCTCGCTACTGAAAGAGTCCCACGCACATGCATGCACACTCTCGATCCCTCTCTCACCTAGTTTTAAAAGCACTGGAATCAGATTTGGTTAACTAGCTCTTAGGAAAGAGGCATTTCATTCCAAATAGTTCTACTGTAGATCAGTGCAAGAACACCAGACTGAATTGACAAGCTAGACAATCTTTTGAAGTTATATTAAGTCTGTGAAAACTTAGGACTCTCTCCATTTGCACCTTCTATAGTGAGGTAGAAGTGGCCAGCTTTTCTAAGAAAGTAGAAGTTTATTTGATAAAAAAAAAACAAAACCACAACCACCTAAAAGCCCGCAGCAACACAAGTCCATCTTAACTACTTAAAGTTCAAATTTTGCAATTCGGTAAAAGCAGCTTGTGTAAAATCCCTACCTCCTTTATACTCCCACATATACGGAACGTTTTGTCACCAGCCTGTCATTTGGAATCTAGTTTTTATCATCATCACTACATTTTGGTTACTTTCCGTTAGCAACGGTTCAGGTCACGACTACAATTAACACCCTGAAGTAGCATGCTATGGTCATGCAAACAAATACCAGTTCAGCTCTAATACCTGAACCTGCCCAGAAAGACCACGACACACATCAATCCTATTCAAACAGTTACTTATTGACTGGCAGATCAGCTTTCAGAGGGGAAAAAGGGGGATTTTGGCCTTTGTAAGGTTCAAGATACAGGTTTCACACTTGGAGTACAGTACTGGAAATGAGCAGTGCTCAAAGAAAAGGGGGAAAAAAAAAAAAAAAAAGTGAAGGAAGTTTCAGCAGCGCTACGGCACCAAAGGCAGCTGGAAGTCGTATAGCACAAGGGATGGCTGGGCACGTCCTGCTGTCAGTGAGCGCTGCTGAAGACATCCCCCAGCCTTACAAGATCAGATCTTGTCTCTCCTCTTCTTTCTCTTTTCCCTCTTCCCTCCCCCCAGCCTCTGCATCAAGAAACCATTCGAAAGAAACAATTGACCACATCTGGAAAACGAATGCCAGGAACTGCCTGGTGGTGCTGGAGGTGGGGAGTCAGCCAAGCAGCAACGAACAGGGGGTGGGGGTGGGAAATAAGGAAAAAAAAAAAATAATAGAGAGTCAGATACTTCCATATTTCAGTTTGGTATCTGATAATAATCTGTTCCAAAAAGGCACGTGGCACTTGCTGAAAGATTTGCCAGCACTACAGCTTTTCACCATCTTCTGCTCTCTACTCTCTATGCCTATTGTCATCTGGATCATGTTTCCCTCCCATAAACACACTAAAAAAAAAATAATCAATCTGCATCCCGTGTTGCACGGGCACAGATTAGTCAAGGTACAGATTCTGAGGTACTGAAATTGTTGCCGAGTTTCCTTATTCCTTGCTCTGACAGATCTGAGGGCAAGTACCTATCTACCCCAAGCAGACATGAAGCATCCCGCCAAATTGATTACTCTGAAAATACCACGAGTTTTCTCCAAAAGGAAAATGACACCCTGAATGGCCGGGGAAGATGCTGAGAGGGCTAGTTTCAGCAAAAGCAGCAAAATCTCCCAATGACAGAGGCTTCCCTCCATACAGAAACTGTAAGAAGCAGCAGACTACAAAAGTTTGTTTGCCATTTTGGTGCAGTTTCAAGACTTCCCCCCACACACATACTTCAAAGTTCCTTCTTACCTCCCCTCCCCTCACTAATTGCAATTTTGTTTATTAAAAATTTACATTTAATTCCTTGAGAACTGTTTTCTGCTATCTTTCCAAATGCCACGAGCCACAAATCTGAGCCATAAGAAATATATAGACTTCAAAGTGAAATCTACACACTTCAATTTCTGTATGTGTTCAAAAACCAGATTCAATTCATTTCAAAGATCGACATTTTTTGATCTTCGCAACTAAAATAACGTAGTAATTTCTTACTGCAGCGACACTCTTATTTTGTAAATGCTGCAGTTGATTCAACAACAGTGAACGGTGTGAACATGCACCTTCGTCTGAAAAGAAGCTGAAAGATCTTACCAGCCAAGAGGTGGTGTTATCTGTCCAACCCCCCCTGGAGACAAGGGATAGAAGGTAGGGAGATCAGGAGCTGGAGGATGCCTGGACATGCCTGTTAAAGAGCACAGAAGAATGAATGACTTTCCCCTCAAAATACTACACACGTGAGCTACAGTTCACAGCTAACACAGCCACCGCTATGATGGAACTGGTGCTCTAGATAAGAAATAACCACGTTCTTGGTTGGGGTTAAAAGCAAAGGCTACCCATGCCACCTTTAAAATAATAAATAACTTGCACACAATATTGTAATTCAAAGGGAAATAACAGAAAAAAAACCAAAGTGGAAGGAGGGAATAAACGTATGGGTAAGGGCCTGTGCAAGTTTAGATCTCCTGTAAAGCGCGTGAGGCAATGCTGTCCTCTCAGTGGTTTCACCAAACCCGATCGGATCCTGAGGACCTCTTCCAACACAGCATGGAACAAGAGGAAAATAAAGCGTTGTCACAGAGGCAGTGCAGCAGAGCTATTAGATTAGGTAAATTGCTACTTGTACGTTTTCGCGGGTTCCCTTATGGATTCGCAGATTTTGGAAACTTGCTACCACAGAGGATCAGTGGTTAATTAAGAATCATTTTCAGGCCTGTAATGGTCACACTTGATATGATTCATTTGGCTTCCAATTGTCACTCCAGCTCCAACTAAGCTCTTCATCAAGTTGACTCCTGTGGGCTCCAAGGTCAATCTGTTTTGCATTGGTAGTATTTCATGGAAAAATAAGAGTCCCATCAGAAATGATCCATCAGCTCACATTCCCCAGAACACAGAGTCCTACAACTGCAAGAATCACCTCAAGATTAAAGCTAATCCTCATCCCAAAAGGGTCTGCGGTCTCCATTCTTCACCTAAACCTCATGCCCCCGGGAGACATGGAATTACAGTTGCAGAGGCCACAAAGACATCGGTTTATTTAAATGTGTTTGGGGAAGAGGGGGCTGAAGCAGAAGGAATTGTTAAGTCTACTTCACATGTTAAATCAGCTGCTTTAAAAGGGCATTAAATATTTATGTGGTGACACTCCAAAGGTCCAAGACTGAGTGTGTGCTACCTTGAGACTTGGTTTATAGACTGATGCTACTGATTTATTTCCCCCATCTAGTTTGTATTTAAATCTTCTGAATTTAATTATAAGATTTGAAGAATATCTTTTGGGATTGTGCACAGAAAAGGATGGAAAACAAGACTGGTGGTGATACTGTCTGGAAAAAGCTAAATTCTCAGACTTGGGACCACAACCTGAGGATCATATTTTTTGGTTAGTCGTCTTTTCAAAGGTGTAAAACAGCTGGTGGCTGACAGGAGAGGGAACGCTTTGTATATCCCAGGGTTTTTATGTGAGAGGGAATGCTCTTTTAGAGCAGTTTATATAAAAAAAAAAAAGGTGAAAAACAAGCCCAGCTTCTCATCTCCGATGACAGTTGATGCTCCTGGGAGTGGCGACACGACCTTGCCCCTGCCAGACCAACTTCTGCACGAGGAGCTGGGCTGCTCCTTCCCCAAAATCTGCATTTCTGACCCACGGAAACGCACAGTGGTTATCCTTAGTCCAAAACTTGTGGCCCCGTACAGGGGGGTGACAGCTACCTAATGCCCAGCAGGAACATATACAGGTACCACACGGCCAGCGCCTCCAGAGCAAGCTTTTGCTCACAAGAGGGTTAAGAAAAAAGTAAAATAAAATAAAAGGGAAGAAAGAAGCAACCGCCTTTAGCAAGGCGGTGGCTGTGTGTCCATCCCGATGTGCCTGGGGTGCGAGAGGCAGCACTGCGGGCAAGCCGCTGTGGCTCCCCCCCCGTTGCCTCCCCGCCGGGGGATTTCGGTGGGAGGAGGGCACCCCGGCGTCTGGGCTGGGGCACTGGGGCAGCGCCTCGCTCCAGAGCCACGGTGGGAGGCCAGGACAGAAACAATGGTCGGAGGCGTTTGGCAGAGGACCTGAGAGAAAAAAAATCCTCTCTTCAGAGCAACTGCATGGGCCACTTCACTGGGGCTGCTCCCACACGCCAGCGGCGCTGAAACGGGGGGCATGGAAAGACCACACACATCAAGGAGACCGTCACAGCCAAAACCAGAAGTCTCCAGCCCGTGTTATCCGTCCCCATCTCCACCAGATGCTGTGCAAAGGGATTGAGAGCCCATTCAAGAACACCGGAGGGGCACGAGCTCTGCTCCAGGGACGCCCCTGGCTGCCCCCCAACAGAGCCCCTCTCTGGGGATGTGCTTGGGGACGGGGACGTGAGCGGTGGGATGCACCAGGGCTGGGCAGGGGAGAGGGCGAGACGAGGCAGGAGGAAGGACGGGCAGCAGAAACAACAAACCAGATGTTCAGTTTGGGTCTGCAGGAGAGGAGCACAAAAAGAAAGCAGGGGTAAAGGTCAAGAATTGGGGTGCAGGAGGGCAAACCCATTGCGCAGTAAGTGAAAACCTCTTGAGCTCACGAACTGGGGCACCAGCGGGGTGTGCCCAGCCGTCACAGCCAGTTCGGGCAAGAGGTGGAAATCCTGTACGTGTGGCACCCGTGGGATTTCAAGGAACGAGCCCGAATATCCTTCTCCTGAGCACTGACACAAAGGAGGAAGGCAAATGAGGACAGGAGGTCTCCATTTGCTTCTTCCAACTCTGAAAAAGATATTATATATGTATTTATAGGCCAGGCTTCCAGGCAGAGCGCTTTTTGTATTCCTGCTCCCTTAAAAAAAAAAAAAAAGCCAACGAAGAAACAGCAAAAACCACACAGAGCCACAAGGCTGTGGTATTTTCTGGATGTAGCCCATGTCATTATCTAAACAGCAAGGCCAAAATAAAAAATAGGCATTCAGGGAAAGTCAGAACTAAAAAAAGTCTCTCCCCCTGAACGATGGTGGCTAGACACCTCTCCAGACAAACAGGACAACTGTGCACATGGACACGTGCCCAGCTAAAGCAGAGCCTCGTGAACTTCTTGACTAGGTGTCACACCACGTGGTGGGACATGTGTGTGGAGAAAGAGGCGGGGAGAGGCACCCTCCAGCCCCAGCCCCGGCACCGACAGACTTCACGCCCATGCACTGACACCCCGACTACAGCAAACACCTTCGGAAACGCTCTGCTCCCTCTCCTTCCCTCCTCACCACCAGTTCTCCTGCGCAGGCTTCTCCTCAGGCTGCTTACCCAAATCCTGGTTCAGACCCATGCCGCCTGGGGTCAGTCCTCCCCTCGCAGCCCCCAAACAACCATCACACCCCCCCCAGCTCCTGCATGCCAATGCAAGCAAACACATCCAGGGGGTGCCTGGGGAGGGTTTGCCAGGCGGGAGCGCTCGGTGCAGGCTGGGCTCTGCACCCCAGAGCTTCAGTGCTTCCCCAGGGATCCACAGCCTGACCCGGAACGGGGCTGGTCTGATGCTCCCAGATGAGGATCGGGGGCGGGGGGGCTTTTTGTTTGTTTTAAGGAGTTCTAGAGGGCGCAGAGAAAACTGACAGACGCCACTCTGGAACCTAAAACGATGCTTTCTGCAGAAGGCAGTGGGCATCAGAAGGTTAAAACACGTCGTGTTTGCAAAGCCTTAACCTGCGCGTGCTCAAAACTCTATTTGATACAGCTTCAGCTATGCCAACTGATGGATGGAAGAATTTGGACAGCCAGAATACAAGGACATAAAATACAATTTTGAGTAAAAGGGAGAAAGAAAAGGTTTCAATAACACCACGACTGAAGTACTCTTCCCCTGTCTTCAGGAAGGTGAGGGATGGTTGCCTTTTCCACATCTGCATGCTGCGAGCCTTGGGCACAACAGGGGGTGGTGAGGACTGGCTGCTTCTTATTGAGATTTTAAAAGATTTTGATGAGTAAAGCAGGCCCAAATTATCACATTAGAAAGAGCATGAAGATTTAAATGGCCAAGTTAAATATCAGCATCACGGCAGAATCACCGTCTCTGAAAGCAGGCATGCACCCCTGGAACTTTTCCTCTACAATATTAAGAATAAAGCTGTATCAGCAGCACGGGGGGGCAGTGGGACTGCTCTGCATCCCTGACAGGACAGGATGGGCTCACCTTGTTTGGAGCTGACGTCGGAGGGGATGTGAGATGGGTGCGACCCCGGGGAAAAGTGCTCATCGCTGTAGGTGATAAGAGGGGTGAGGGGGTGAACCGCATGAGAAGGCTGTACCACTGGCACCTTGTTTGACTGCAAGAGAAGAAAAAGATTTAAATTAAATAACATTACCAAGGTGGGGCTTCTGTATTTAATTTAAATTAAAAAAAAAAGCACTTCCAAAATGCAATTTGTATTACTGAAGGGAGGGTGGACAACACTGGGGCTGGTGGATGGCAACCAGATTTGCTGCCAGAATTGGCATCCTTGAGCCACCGGTGCCTGATGAGGGATGCAGTTGAGGAAATGCAGGGAAAGGGGGAAATGGGTGAAGCTGGGAGCAGGAGGAAAGGCATTCAGGAGACAAGGAGATGGGCCCCGGAGAAGCAGTGGCCAGAGAGCCGCATGGCAGGAGGAACAGCATGCCGGGTAGGCACCACACACCAAGAGCTGCCACCGAAGGACAGCAGAGACAGTAGCAGCGTTGAAGAAACCAACCGTTCAGTTACAGGTTCAGCATTAAATTAAAAAAAAAAAAAAAAAAAAAAAAAAAAAAAATTTTAAGTGCAGGTTTGCCACATCTCCAGCCTTAAGAGCAACACAAGCATCATTGACATCACTCCTCCTCCTCTCCATCGCTCTCCTGCGCAACTGCAGCATGGCACAGCGGGGCAAGCCCCTGGCCTTGCCAGAGGGTACAGCGGGCTTCACCCCTGGCAAGTTTACAAACTTCACTTGAAATCTCCTGCTCTGGGTAACAGATAACTGAAAAGCCACCCGTAAAAGCCTAATTTCATACATAAGCAGTTGTCAGTGGCCTCTCAGAGGGGTCAGTTAGGGAGGAGACCCACCGATGGCCCAGGGATGGCTGGACAGACTCTTGCTGCGTCACGCCAAGGAGAAAACACAAGCGCTAAAAACACCCAAGAGGGTCCCGAAACATCTGCCGTACAGCCATGTCCACGCAGGCCAAGACGCACACTTCCCATCGTCCCTTCTCGCAGAGGCGCAGGGGAGGGAACACTCGGCATGATGCTGCCTGAAATCACGCTCTTGGACCAAGGCGACAAGGCAATGGGACTCATCCGTCCCAACAATATGCTGCAGTGTTAACGCTGCCTGAAATACAAGTTGCTCTTCCCATGGCGGGATGAGACAGAGCGATGATGCCAGCGTGTAACAGGCGCTATTAATTTGTACCCCGCCACTCCGTACTCTGCCCCTTAGCAAAAATAATTATGCCCCAAACAGATTTTTATTAAAATTAAAAAAAAAAAAGAAAAAGAAAAAGCAATCGTCCTTCAGAAAGAAACACTGGTAAAACTCAGCAATGACAGCTTGTCAAATACCAGGAATTAAGAAAAGGAAAAAAAATAATTTAAAAGCCCAATGACATTAATTTTCTTTGCGCTCTCTATTGAAATCCTGGCACAAACAAACGTTAGGACAATACTCCAAGTACAAACCCAGGATTTCTCTGGACTTCTAGAAGCAGAAGGGTTATTAAACGGACAACTCAATTTATTGTTAAGGCCGGGAGGAGTAGGGGAAAAAGAGCAAATGGGAACCAGTGCAGCGTTTTCTGCTTGCCTTGTTTCCAGAGCACCACCTTAAGGAACTTGCATTAGCAGGCAGTATCTTCTTAATGTCTGACCTATCCCTCCAGTCATATAGCTCAGAATCTGGTGCCATGAATTTTTGCTAAATTATGCTATCCTTGCTCTCCTCTTAATTTTACGGTTTTCAACACAGATTTGCTTTCCTGTGGGAAAGAGATAAGAACCTGAGGATTTTAATTTAAGCTCCGGCCTTGTCTTATATTTTGCAAGATGGAGAGAGAAAGCAGCGCCAGTAGGTGTTTTAAAGCCAACAAGCATTAGGTCCATTTTTGTGACCAAATAATAAAAGCAATATGAATTCTTAATAATATATATGAGTTGAGTTGTAAAGGGGATAGCTCAGACTGCTATTCATCCTCCCTGCCTGTATAAATTCAACAAAAAACAGATGCCAACAAATATCAGACGCTTTACAAATCAGGCCTCAGTCTTTAGCTACGAGACTTGTGGGCCAGCCCACCATTCAGCAATTACTTTATCAACAATAAACTGTATATTATGAATAAAGATCAAGCAATAGATGTATTTAGGTCACACACACGCAGCTGCTAATCAGCATTAATTTCTCAAAATTTAGTAATTAACATTTTGTATTATACTGGATGTAATTGTCATGCACGCCCCTGGTATCAGGGTTACTTGCTTTCAGAAATCACCCATTTCTACTTCGAGCAAGCCAACCCCCATACCCCCTCGCTCTCCAGCATCCTGCAGATTTTATTTTATTTTCTAATTCTCGGCACCTTATCCCCTAAGCCCACGGCAGCAGCTTTCAACGGGCGAAGGAACCGTGAGAAGTCAGGAGAAAAGCAAACCGCTTGTCAGTGGGCTTAAAATTAACATATAAACAGGCCATATCACCATTAAGAGCATTTAGCGGTCTTGCAGATCCAGAAACTGAAAAAATAAAGTAATAATAAATAATAACAATAATAAAAAGCTCTCCAGCCTGCCCACCCCACATTGCTTTGGAAGGACCAAGGGAGCTCTGGCCACCTAAATCCTGCTGGGCGCCCAGACGTGCCACTGGAAGGGGCCTCGGTGGGCACAGGCTGAGCCCCCCCATTCCCTGTGGTCCCACCAAAGACAACCATAGTGATTCACAGGGGGAGAAAACACAGGCCAACACGTGCGAAATTAAACCAGAATGAGAAAGGCCTGATGACATTTTTTCCAAAAGCCCTGTGGACTAAATTGGTTCTGCTGTGGCACCTGCCCCGCAAGTCAACCCAAATGGGTTGTCTGGGCCCTCCTCCCAGAGAGAGTTCAGGGCTGGAGACCAGGATCTTGTATGCAGACATGGATGCCCCTCTCGCCACCCTCTCAACCCTCCCACCCGTGGGCCAGGGTGAGGGAAGGAGCACATTGGCCCCACATGCCCTGGCTGGTCCCACAATTGCTGGTCTGCACCCTTCACTCTTGGGGACATCTGGCTTGGGGACCATGCTGAAGCCCCTTCCATCACCTACTGCTCGCAGTGGGCATTACTGCCCCAAAGGCTTTTCAGGGCTGAGTGACATGGCCAAAATCCTACCTCACGCTGAGGTACAAGGCAGTGCTGATCAGGCACCTCCTACTGCAGCCCACTGTCTTTGCCCACAGGCTTCTCCTCCTCCCACAAATATGCCATCCCCAATACCTTCATGTCCCCAAATCCTCCAAAGACAGTCCATACAGCTGCAGAAACACTTGAGCGATTGACAGAGACCTGAACCCAGGGACTGCCAATCTGGGTCAACATGATCTCCGTGCAGGGGGAACGCAGTCCTAGCACCCACCACGGCTCTCCCCGGCACACTGGTGACATTCACATCTAGTATAGGCACGGTTCGCGAAGGACCTTTTGTCCTCAATACCACTTTAACCTTCTCCTGCAAAACCCACTTAGTCCACATGCCTTCAATGAGACATCTACATAATTACCCACTGTCCTACATGAGGTTCTTCAGTATTTCAGTACAGAAATTATACTTCATCCACCCACTAAAATGTAGTATTTTGACGCAAGTGGGTACATGAGCAGCTTCTAGAAAGACAATAAAGCAGATGAGAAAGCAATTCTCATTTCTAAGACAATCTGAAGAAGCTGGATGTTCATTGAAGAGGTTCCTAATACAGCTCCGACGCAGCGCATGCGGTGTACTTTCACACCACATCACTTTCCTCACCTTCATCAAACTCTGGGCCTAAGCTTCTTCACATACCCTGGGAAGTAAAAGGAAATTGAACCTACAGTATACCTCAAGATCTGCAGTTTGGAAAAAAAATCAACAAACAGCTAAAAATGAGGACCTGTGGCTTAGAAAGGTGTAAGGCTTTAAGGCACCTTGTCACGTGGGTGTCATAACCTGTTATGTATGCTGAAGGCTAACGGCAAAGGGATCACGCATGCCTGTTGACCTGGGGACACCCAGCTGTGTCCCACAGGACCCAGCTCAAAGGGGCACTCATCCCTGAGCAACTAAACCTTGGTTAGGCCCATCAGGGCTCTGGTCCCACTGAACAGTCTCACAGCAGAGCCTCCAGCAGCATCCTTTGGGAACTGGCCTTGCACCCAAAGGAACTCTGCCTGGCTCTCCCCGGGGCACTTCTGCTGCTTGGATGTTTACTCAGCAGCTTGGCCTTCACAGCCGGTATCTTTTATTTCTCCCAGGCATGTGCTCAGGCTGAGGTGAGGCAGTCCTGGCAGGGAACGGTCCCCTGAAGGGACACCAACAGGGCAAACAGGCAGGGCTGGGAGAAAATACATCTATTGGCAACAGCAAGAGCTGAATTATTTGACTGGTTAGTGCATACATGAAGCTGCTATTCAGTTTTATGACCGACCTAAAAAAAAAATCAAAACCCCCAATGAAACATTAGTGGGCAAAGGGTAAGAGCTCACAGGGACCCAGCAGTAGGCATTATCCCGGCAGGGGCTTCGTTGTGCACTGGACACCAGCTTAAAACTATTGCTGCATGAAAGTAACGCAGGAACAACCGTCTAAGTCGGTACAAGAGCAAATGCCTTTCTTGCAAACAGCAAGCAGTCCACAAGCGCCAGGCTTGAACTGTACTTGGGCATTTTTCCCCAGTTTTTGAAAAGCAAGACTGCCAGAAAACAACCAAAACCCAAGCCCTCCCCAAACAGCTAGCTAATGCTTCAGCAAAGGCCCGCACCTGCAAGGTATCCTATATGCAACAAGTGTGCAAAAACTATAAAAAGCCCGAGACAGCCACGGCAAAAATGCCTCTAGGTCAGCGCTGAGCGAGGCGGGCGGCTGGGAGCTCCCGCTGGAGCTGAGGGGACCATTTGTTCCAGCTGCTGTGCAGGGAAAGATATTAAATTAACGACCCTTCAAAGGACACACATCTACAAAGGAGGTCGCAGACGGGCTGGGAGGTTCGCAGGGAACCGGGAGCAAGCGAGCCCGTGTGCACACAAGGCTCAAGTGCCCCTGGGTCAACACCCAAAGAGGTCCTGCATTAGTTTTT